CTCGACTCGTTTTCACGCTGATACCCTGTGCAAATCGGAGCCAAATCTGGCCAACGGCCGAAAACACGGCCGAAACCCAGCGGCGCCGCCGCTTCCCTCTCGGTTTTGCTCCGATGAGGCCTTCTCGGCCTCCGTTTGATGCAATTTTTATATCACCGTGATCACCATTCTTTTCTCTACAGGTTGATCGGAGCCGAATCACCAAAACACGAACCTCACCGGAGAGCCGCCGCACCCGAGAGCACCGCCGCCGGTAAGCTTCGGTTTTCCATAATTTTTTGGCCCCTCGAGGACCCTAGGGTTGTTTTATCACAAGGACCGATGTAAGTGTGGCCGAATTCGGCCAAAAACGGCCCAAAACGGCCAAACCGAGGCGAATCGCCGCCGGAGCACGGCAGAGCCGCCATGCCGGAATTGCGATATTGGCCAAAAAGGGGCCCTGGGCCTAATTTGGGATTTTTTGGAACACGTGCAGGTACCAGTAGTGCGTTTCAGTTCCCCGGAAAAAATTCAGGAAAAATTAGGGACAGTCTGTAGGCGCACTGTGAAGCCGTGTTCGGACCCCGAAACGAGTAAGGACCCCTCACCCTATTTCCTATCACGGTATTAAAGTTCAATAATGATAAAACGGTATTTCTTGAATCAACGAATGTGTGAAATTGCTTAAGGTCGCTAATGGAGCCCAAGTCTAGTGTGTTTGTCAGTTAACTGTTATTTGGCATATTTTACAGTTTTAAATGCAGTATGAGGTCTGATGTTTTTATTTCAATGTTTCGCGTGCATATTTTACTGTTTTATTGATTATGGGTTGAATGACTGAGAAACCGATGCTGTATGTTGTCTTGTTTGGCATAAATTACTGTTTGCTTGTTTGTATGTAAATTGATGATGCTGATTGAGGAAAAGGAGAATGAAAGATTATATAAATTGATAATTGTATAATGTGGTCAGCCTGACTAGATATCCTGGGAGATGGTGGACGGACCGGGTCCGTAGGGAACCCTACCGGGATTGTGGTCTCTCATACCGGACGGGGTATGGAGACCTTATGTGTTTTGGCGCTCATACCGGACGGGGTATGGGGACGGTCCGTTTCACCCTCATACCGGACGGGGTAATGAGGTCTATAGTTTTGGCGCCCATACCGGACGGGGTATGGGGACGGCCCTGGAATCTGATTTCAAGTGTTAAGGATTAACGGGTAGCGGGACCCCTATGGATCCCCATGGATACTAGTTGGCTGGTAAATGAGGAAAATATGTTGTGTAATGATTGAATTACAAAAGGCGTGATAAGTATTATGTTATACAGTTTATATGATTTCATGATGATGATAATGTTATTGCTTTCGTATATTGTTTTATGAATTTCACCGAGGTAAGTGGATGGTAAAGGATTTATTATGGATAAAAGGATTTGTTGTAAATTATGCTCCATTGGTCTTTTTGTGTTTTCTACCCACCTTTACCTCCGTGACGGTGAGATATCATGATGTCTTTACTGGGCTAGTGTAGCTCATTCCTTATTTAATCATTTCAGATCAGGAAGACATTGTTCCCGAGCCCGTTCCGCAGGAGGACGACGAAGGGGACGCCTAAAGACTCCATAGTCATATTCATAGTTTTTACTTTTGAGTTTCTCCTTTAGTTAGTTTGATCTTTTATATTTTGTGAGCACGTTTTTTGTTTTAGTGTAAGGGATGTTAATCGAATTTTTGACTTCGCTTCCACATTTGATATTTTTAATACACATTTCATTTTAAATTTCCGGGGCCGTTACATATATATATATATATATATATATATATTAGTCAAAACCTAAAAAAAAAATAAATATATACCTACTATTTTTTTAAGTGATTTGATTTTTAAGAAAAAAAAAACTTTGCATAATATACATTAGAAGCTTTTATATTATTTATAATTTTTAGATAAATCTATCTCAGTTGATTTTATATGTTTAGATTTTATTTCACTAAGTTTTTACAATAAATTGTAGTTTGAAGCTCATTAAAATTGTGAGCAAGTAGCTAATCATATAATTACATTTTATATTAACGTGAAATGTTAATACATTGAAAATCTTTATGTAATTTATATTTTTCTAATAAATTTATGTTCATATTGGTAATTATTTTTAATTTTTTTTTTCAATAAGTCATCAAAAGAAACGGTGCTTGAAATCCATTAAAATTGTGCACATGCAATTAACGTTATGACCACATTTTTTGTGTTGTTATAAAATTTTTACTGATGTGGCATCCACGTGTAGGAGAAATTTTATTTATTTTTTAATTTTAAATATATATTTTTATTTTTTATTTATAAATTAATATTTAAACTATCTAAAAATAAAAAATAAATAAAATTCTTCTAATTTCAAGTGCTAAAACTCCATTTTCACCCTCAAATTCTCTATTGATGGTCTATACACGCCTTGTTAGCGTTGCATTGCTGAGTCTCTCTTACTCTACAACGTTGATGCGACATATCTTGTTGTCTTTAACTTCTTCTACTCCAGTGTCATACATTATTGTCATATTTGATCCAAATCTTTTATCTTATTTGGTCCTTATTTTAATTTAGTTTAATTCTCAATCAATGAAGCATATAAAGGGAATCACATTTCTCATCTCTCTCATGATGATCTCAATTTACCATGTTGGGTAAAAGGTTAGGTTGATCTATTATAGTTTCATTTTCTTTAGTTAAAGACTCCATTACCGTCATTTTTTCTAATGAGAAGATATGAAGATTTATCTCTTTAACCTAATCGCTCATCCCCTTTTTCCGACTTTGCTCCCAAGTTTTCTTTGTTAATTTCTAAATATGAAA